GTATATAAAAAAGAGATTCTTTTATATATAAGATTTTCATATCATACTTACTCAAAATTTTAACAATTTATCTCTTCACTTTTAATTATTAAAATTTGTCATAACTTTAATAATTATCTTTAATAAATATGAAATAAATCTCAATCATTAAAAATAGAAAGATAAATTATTAAAATTTTGAATCCTACTCAAATAACTCTAAAAAAAAAAGATTTTCAACCTTAAATGATCTCATTTTATTTAATTAAGATTTAATTTAAAATTTAAAAATTTACCTTTATTAAATGTTAATTTTTATATTTAGAAATTAAAAACAAATTCAAATTTTATATATCTATTTTATTAAATATTGATACATAGATTATAATATATTACTAATTTTCAAATCCAAATATTAACATTTAATAACATAAATATTTTTTTTAAGAATTAAAACTAATATACACTTTTTTACTTTTATATACATATAGAGAGAGAAAGAGATGTTGGTAGCTTGATTGATGATCTTGTTTCATTTAAAATGCATACATGCAGTGATTGCCGCAATCATTCTTGTCATAATTATCACCCTCTTGATTCTCATTATCTGCCAAAGGAGGAAGAAGGAGAAATATTTTAGAAAAAACGGTGGTTTGATATTGAAGAACCAAATAATCAGGATTTTTAGCGAAGCAGAAATAATAAAGGCAACCAACAACTATGACCCTAGTCAATTCCTTGGAGAAAGAGGCTTTGGTTCAGTTTACAAGGCAGTTTTAGGAGACAACACAGAAGTTGCTGTTAAGAAGGCCAAAGAGGTGGACAAGGCCAAAGAGGTGGACAAGGCAAAAATAAACGACGATTTTCAACGTGAAATCAGAATTGTTTCTTAGGTGAACCATAAGAATGTTGTGAAGCTCTTAGGCTTATGTTTGGAGACCAAAGTTCCATTGCTGGTTTATGAGTTCATTTCAAATGGAACCCTCTACCATCATATCCATGACAAGGGATCACATGTTTTAAGATCATGGAAGAATCGTCTGAGGATTGCTGTGGAGACTGCACTTGCACTTGACTATTTACATTCTTTAACAAACCCACCGATCATTCATGGTGATGTGAAGTCAATGAACATATTGTTGGACGATCATTACACAGCCAAAGTATCTGATTTTGGGGCTTCTGTACTCATCTCAAAAAACTAAACTGGAATAAGCTCCAAAATACAAGGAACACTTGGGTATTTGGATCCGGAGTACCTAATGACTGGTAATTTGACAGCAAAGAGTGATGTTTATAGCTTTGGAGTCGTCTTGGTGGAGCTATTGACTGGGGAGAAGCCTACTTCAAGTGTTGGAGATGGGGAGAAGAGAAACATCATTCACTATTTCATTTTATGTGTTGAAGATGGTCGTATTGCCCAAGTTTTGAATTTTGAGCCAGCCAATGATGGGGAAATGGAGGAAGTAGAAGCAGTTGCTGACCTTGTGAAGAGATGCCTCGATTGGATTGGCCTAAGAAGGCCAACCATGAAGGAAGTTTCCGAGGAGCTTGGAAGGCTAAAAAAGCTTAGTGATAACTTCTGGGCTCAAGGGGAAAATGGAGAGACTGAGTGCTTGCTTGGAGAATCCTCATCATAGACTTATGAATCTTTAAATGCCAAGATGGAACAAATGGAAACCTATACGATGCACACAACATTTGACATTGAACAAGCATCAACTCTTGGCATCTAGTCTTTCCTGCTACTATAATCTTCCATATATATGTGATTAGTTACAATAATTTCCTAACATATGCTGAGCATATGTGAAGGCTTTCCTTGCTACTTGGTTGTTGGTTCTCTATGTTTATATAAGATAAGTGTTGTATTTGCTAAATTTGATTTAAGTGGGTCAAAAAGTTAATAAAATATGATTTTTCTGGACTTAATGCGTATAATACTAGTTGC